ACCACGGCTACGACTACGACTACGACTACTACTACTACTACTACTACTACTACTACTACTACTAGACCTACTACTACTGCAACTACTTCTACTACCACTGCTATTACTACGACGACGACTACGACTACTGCTGCTACTACGACATCATCCTACTGAATAGGCTTAATCAACACAATTCATACTGTTGCCTCGGCTACTACTCAGTTACTAGTCGGCGCTAACGATCACAAAACAGATGACAACAAGGCGAAGATAAAATTTAGGGGCCCGGGGCATGTGGGCTTGCAGGTGCGTCCTCTTGCGTGACGGAAGTTCTAGTATCAGCAACCGCAACCGTGATAGCGACAATTGAAGGCTTTGTACAAAACTAGATGAAGGAAAATCAAGGCTGGGTCGGCACGGCAATCGACGCAAGCAGTATGTTTATGTCAGGATTGGGACTTTGATCGCGTGCAACGAGCCAGGAACGCAACAGTAACGTTTGCCGTTCAGGAATCACGGGCATAGAGAGCTCGTCAGAATGAGACCCTTGTTTGTTTTCAAGGACACACTCACAAAGTCTCTAGGAAACTCTGGCAAGGCCGACGACGAGAGCACCACAAACAAATGACCGTCGAAAGACTAGCGATGGGAGAAAAGCCTGTAGAGCCTAGCAACCAAGCCCGAGCTCCTAGCAAAGCCAAGCACGCAGTGAAACCGACTAATTTGAGGCCAAAGCCCTGGCGCCTCCTCCTCCTCGCCGGCACTCTCGTCGTGGCCCTCGTTGCTGGGATCCTCGTCCTTCCCACATTTCCGACAAGCTCTAGGCCTTGGAAGCCTAATTCATTTTCAGCTGCAGCTCCTGACCCTTCGGTCAAAGTTTTAGGATTCCCAACCCCAACTCAAGTCTTCTGCAGGGCACTAGCGGCACTGAAACCAAAACTTTCGTGTCTCAAGCCTAAAGTCCGAAACCTTTAGCCTGGTTGGCGACCCTTGTGTGGTCTACGCCTGAAACGTTAGGCTGTGACCTAAAGGCGCGCAGTGGAACAGGCCACACTCTCCTGCATTTTCACTCAAAACCTAAACCCCCCCAACCCTTAAGAAAGAAGCTCCGACCACGTGGAACTCCCGGAACCGCACAGCGCAACCTTCCGCAAACCTTAAACCCGAATCTAGAACCTAAACCGTCCGGCCAAGACGAAAAACCGAAACCCTAAACCGGAACCGCCTCCGACTCCGGCGACTCTTCCCCCAGCGGCAGCTCTGCCCGCGGCTGCAGCCGTGGATCATGGTGAAGTGAAGGAACTGAGAAGATGCGATCATCGCGATCCAGCAGTTGAGTCCGGAGGGCCTGCCTGGAGGGCTAGGTTTATGGTTTTAGCGTTTAGCGCCTAGTGTTCATGGTTCGGGGTTTAGGGTTCTGGCGTGTAGAGTTCGCTGTCATCGGTTTTCTTCAAGGACTTTCAATTCGGGATGTCTCACAGGAGCCTTCCTAAAGAGAACAGGGTCTTTGTGATAAGTAGTTCAATGTGGCTCCATTTTGCAAGGACGAGCATGGGATGCTACTACCAATCATTCGCACCCCCTTTTCAGCTCCACAGAAGGACCTACTGGGACCTACTAGGATGTTTCTCTCTCCTCACAGCCAGTTACACCGCTGTACAGGCGTTTGCGGGCACCCTTACAATTGAATTGTTTGTAACCCTTCTTAAAGTAAGGAAACTCCGAACTCGAGACACTCAACCAGCGAAGCCCACAAACCTGCCACTATCGTCTCCTCAACACCACCCGGAACGAATAGTAATGCAAACCTCTTAGGGCTCACAGTAGGGTTTTGGGCTCTGAAATACAATAAGGATTACAGTAGGGATTCGAATATTTGTTATAAGCCTGCATAGCACTGTAAAGCCGTATAGGAACCATCACTTCAACAAGGTACCTCAACCGATCTATCTATTCTCTTTAGCTTTTCTGTACTAAAGGACCTCTCAACAGGCCAACCCGGATCTGAAACCAAAAACAATAATAGCATACTCCGCTTATGAACCCATAGGATTTTTAACTGCCCCAGCACCTTCTTCCAATTCTTAAGGTCCCCAAGTAGGGGAACTAGAGTCTTGTAATACCCCCACGACAAAAAAAAACAAACTTCAGTCAACCCTGCCGAGTTGCCAGTTTCGCACCTCTGGCCGCAACCTCCCTGACGGCAGCTGCTGAGGCAGCTTCCTCCGTGTTCCAATCCGCAGCTGCCCTGCGTCCAGGTCCTGTGGGGGGAGGGGGGGTATCCTAAAGGAAAGGGGTGGACTGCACCCCACGCTTCCCAATCCCCATACCCGAAGGTTCACCCGTCAGCCGTCCCTGCCTAAACTTCCACCCACGCAACCCACCCCAAATGCCAACAATCGCCAACTGCCCGAAGACGAAACATCATGATCAGGGCTTAGGGTTCAGAGTTATCACGAGCGTTTTTGAAAATGCCTTTTCCGTCACTTGAGGGTTGAGGGTTCAAGGCCCACGCAGCCTTCGAGCAGGCACCGATAGCCTGCAAATGCCGTGAGAAACCCTGCAATGGTTTTGAATACCAGCAGACCCCAAGTGCTACCTTGACGCTCAGGGGGCTTGTGCAGGGTGATACTTAGGATGAAACCCACTCATTGATCGAAGTGTAAAGTCCCGCCAAGCAGGGATCAGACAGGTTTAGGGCCGTTTAGGGTTCGCCGGCTTGTTCCTGGCACCTTTGCATCGAAGAGTAGCAAGGGTCAGTCCTTCTCAGGGCCAGGCGAATTACGGATTCGGAGGTATTGAAGCACAGCCTAGTCTAGGGGCCCCTAAACTCCAAAACAATAAGCAAACCTTAAATCCTCAAACAACCCCGAACCCTCAACCACTAACCCTAAAGCACTGATCCCCGACACCCCTAAACCATAGTACCCATTCTCCGCCTCGGTGGTCGATCCTTGCGACTGCGCCGACTGACAGGTTATATCGGAGAATACTTGACGGTTGATCATACGGAGGCTTTTTCATTGACGTTCCTAAATGTGTCGTTTGATAATTGGTTGTCGGGTGCGTGGAAATTTCACGGGGCTTGAAAGGTTTGTCTACGATTTCAACCGGTTATGGCTTTTTTGATTGAGAGACTATCATGACGACCTAATAAGGCCAAAAAGGAAATACAGTCCCCTATCCCCCCCTTCCCCCTTCTTCCTCTAAGGGTCTCTATGAGACTAGGGGTTGAGGTCGGGTCTCGGGTTGTGGGTAAGGGAAGAGCATGGAAAAACATGGTCAGAGCTTGGCAGCTAGGCTGAATCCTTACAACACCCTCATCAAGCCTCCTTTTTGACAAAGGTGTAGTGTAAAGCCCGCTTTCAGAACCCTAAACCTTAGTGCTCAACTCTGTGGGAGTGAAGTAGCAAGTTGGTAATCACACTGAAAATATAACAAAACAGCGCCATCGTACGAAATTGAAACAACAGCACAACAGGTGGCCAAAATAATCGGACCGGACAATAACATCATCATCAAACTTGCGTCCTAAACACTATTTGTGGAATTGGAAGGAGAACCCTAAACCCGAAACCCGACACCGAAACCCTCCAGCCCCCAACCCTGGGGGCGGGGAACATCGTCCTTGCACCCTAATTAGGCCATGCACCCGGATCCAAAAGCCCTACAACCCAGAATCGACTAGTCTCGCACCGGCGTTGCCGGACGGTCACAGGTATTACAGATTATTACGTTGTGCAAGAGAAGCACAACATCCCAAACCCGAAGCCCTACGAAGCGATCACGGGACGTGTCTCGTGCCTGCGCAGAGCGCACCTGACAAGCTCACACCAGCGGACGAAAGCCCCCTTGTCTCTTAATGGGAATTTTTGCGGTTGCTTAGGGTTTCGTAGGACTTTGAAGGAGGCTAAAAACGCCTGTTCGGGTGTTTAAGGGTCGTTTTTACGGTTTCGAAAGCCCTGAAGGTGTTTAGCCTCTAGCCTCTCGGGTTTAGCGTTTAAGGCTCGACTGGTTGGGCTCAGGATGCCTAACGTAAAAGGTTGCATAACTGGTACTAGTAATAATCCCGCGTGTCGTCCTCTGTACAGTTTACGAATCAATCCATAAACCCCCTCGTTGGGGGGAAAACTGGGCCTTGGAAAACACATGTGTTTATGTCGAATCTACTGCGCCCGCCACACGAAACAGGCGTCATCTTGCAAAAGTTGACAGCATGTTTGTTTTGCGTTTGCAGTTCGGAATTGCTTAACACTGAGTTTTGGACACGCTAGTCGCTGTTGTCGGCTTGATTAGGTTCTTGCACGGGAAGGAGGAGATTGAAAGTAGCACCGGCGAACATTCCGGAAATACCAGGCCTGTCACACGAAACAGTGTTAAACACAGGATTGAGAATCTACTGAAGCAAGCCTTTGTGTGATATGAGATGAGATGGTATGAGGAGGTATGGGATGGTATGCGATGCTTTGAGATGATATGATATAATATAACATGGCATGGGATGGTATGAGATGATATGAGATGCTATGGGAAGAGAGGAGATGATATGAGATGAGAGGAGATGGTATGGGATGGTATGGGATGGTATGGTGGGATGGTATGGAATAGTATGCGATGATCTGAGATGATATGACATGGCATGGGCTATGGGATGGTATGAGATGATATGAGATGAGAGGAGATAAGATGGTACGAGATGATATGTGACGATATGGAAGGATATGATATGACAGGATATGATTAAAGCCGGAACCCACTACTGAAAGACATAGGCCATTCCGAGCGAGGACGAAGACTCTCTGCTTTGCATCTGGGCAGTTGCTTCTAGCAAGCATTGGCGGATCAGAAAGACACTGCATGCATAAGAACAGCAACAGGAAGACAAGCATACTGAATCTTGAAACAGAGAACGTC